AGGGTTTAGGGGTTTAGGGTTTAGGGGTTTTGGGTTTAGGGTTTAGGGGTTTTGGGTTTAGGGGTTTAGGGTTTAGGGGTTTAGCGGTTGAGGGTTTAGGGTTTAGGGGTTTAGGGTTTGGGGCTGGGTAGGCAACTTTAACCTTCTGGGGCTGATATCATGGGTTTAGGGTGAAGGGTTTTGGGGCTTATATAATTTTTTAATCCTACTATAGTTTAAATGGTTAGCCTGTTCTGGGCTAGGGTGCTCAGCCCTTGCCCAGGAAGTGCATCGCGCAGACGAACCTGAAGAACCAGGGCACCATGAGAGAAGAATGGCCTCTTGGAAGACCAAAAGAACTCGGGTTTCAACTAGGTTTGGGGTTTAGGGTTTAGGGTAAAGTTTAAACGCTAGACCCTTCGCCCGAAGTCACGGTTTAGGGTTTGCACGAGTTGACTTTTTCTCCGCCCCTTTTGGCACATCAAAGAGTCCAGCTTCAAACAGCTTTTGGGGGACAACCCTGAACTTCTAAACCCTAAACCCTACACCCGATGGAGGGCACTGTGTTCGAAACTTGTTGTCTTCAAAGGCTTAGAGTCGAATCCGTGGGGAGTCTGATTTTTTCCTTTGGGGGGCCTATTACAAAAAACAAAAAACCCTAAGCCCTAAACCCCACTTTGTTAAGGGAGTCTGTTTTTCTTCCGGGGGCCTATTACAAACACTAAAATCCGACCAAACCTGTAGCCATGGCAGCATCAAAACTGAACTGGTGTAGTTTATAGGGGCCTGAATCATTGGCGATAGTAACTTCCTTGCAGTCCCTACATACTTCTACCAGACTACACCCCAAAGCCTTTATTGAAACGATTATTATAGCCCATATGTTACGATATCCCATGGAAGCACCTCCAGCTTTGAGGTTTTCTGGACGAAGCCATGGATGTCGAACCCGAGCCCCAAAGTCTAAAGCAAGCTGTATATGTAGAGCCGCGGATTCTTGCGGGTGTAAACTGGGCTACGGGTCGGTTTTTCTCAACCAAAACGCACCTTACCACAAATCCTGAACCAGAACATCCTAGGTGGGAATCAACCCTACCCGAGCCCCAAAGCCCTTAACCCGTAATGCCTAGCAAGCCCTACCAGGCAAATCTTCCGCGGTATGCTGCGCGGCCATGGTTGGCTTGGGGCCCACGGCCCATGTAGGGGCCTAGGGACGCTTGTCAGAGTTTGTGTGAAGCTGCTTGGCCTCAGTCGATGTTGCCGTCGCTGCCACTACTATAAACCCTAAACTGAGCCCTATAAACTCTTATATAAACCATATAATATAAGCCACAGCCATTTTGGCTGAAGATTCCGTTCCGCGTGGTATTAGTCAGCCTCGATGGCCGACCAGGTATATGAGACACCTGGCCAACCTGGCCAGGAGAATCGCCGTTGCCTGGCGAAGGACCTTGCACTGGTGGCGGCGCAACTTCGGCGAAGTCGCAAGAAGGTCCGTGGAGGGGACGATCCCGGACCTTACCCGGGCCGATGCGGCTCTCCAACCTGGGCGTGTGACGGTACCCCCGCCTCATCGGACGTGCCTGTATATTGGACTGATGCGAGGAGCCCTATGGCACCGATTCGGAGTGGCGGACATGTCTCTTGACATTATAAGGCATGGCATTGTAGCATTCACGAGCGGTCTCTTGCGAACCATCTCTCAACATGTTGTCCGACGTGTTGCGTCTCCGCGCAGTCTGTCGGAAGCCAAATCTTATGAGCTGTTTAGTTGCTTCCGTAGCATTGCCACTAAGACAAATTGCTCTGATTGGAACCTTTTTCTTTATGGATCGCATCTTACTTGGAAACCTGCAGCATCAGCCGTCAAACTGTATGCTTGGGCAGGTTTATTGCGGGTGCAAACGCTTCGCTGGTGCAATCTCGAGACTTACAGAGGACGATTATCACCATTCGAATTAGTGCGGGGCCACGACCAGACTGCAGAGTGCCGCAGCACATGGTTCAGGTGCAGTTCGCAGAGCAGGATGTGGGCACAGAAACGTCCCTGAATGTCCTCGACCAAGAGCTCGCTGAAGAGCAGGCGTGGACACTGGCGCGGGGCAGCAGGGACGCCCTAACCATTGGCGGTCAAAGGCACGCAGCGCACCGCAAGGCTTTGCAAAGCGACCCCAGGCTGAATGTGCAGAACTTCGGCTGCCTGGGCGCCGCCGTGAGCGACCTGTGGGGTAGCCGGGCCCCAACAAAGAGTGCCACTTCGTACATCGAGGCACGCTGTGGACGGGGAAGTTCGCAGTGTGGCGAAACCCTGTCATGACCCCGCACGATGTGCAAGCATGTGCAAGCCACTTTCCATGCAGTTTAGAAGCTGGTCATTGTTGCACTTGAATACTTCCTCGGTTATATAAGCTGAGTGCACAAACCAAAACATACCGTCGCTGTCTTTTAGGATCGTTTGGCTTGTGTGCAAGAAAGGCTTGGGTTGCCAAACCGCTCGATGCAGGGGCGATGTTGCAATCAGGTTGGGGTGGCCTCGAAGTTGGGGCTGCGGGGGGGATGAGCATGCCGCAAATTGTCCGAGGAGCCCGGGCCGATAGGCTCTTTCGTCAGATCAGCGCTCGGAAAGCCTCAAATAAGGGGCGATGGAGAACTCCTCTAAGCCCTGAAGTAGGAGGCAAACTTCCTAGATAATCCCTACACTAGCCCTACACCTTTTACGTAGTCGATGTAGTCCAGATAACCCGTTCCCGTTCCCCCATGCTTTACTAAGAACCAGGGAGTTTTCTGAACCGAGCCCGGAGGTTTAACCCTAATGCGCTTAGAGAAATTCCAACAAATCGCAAACCCCAAAAATTTAAAGCCCTAAACCAGAAACCCTCTTAAAGCAATAACCCCCCAGACTCCCGTTCGCAACGCACAAGGATCACAATCCTGCGCGACACACCGAGCTGTGGGCAGCTGTGGCTGCAGAGTTAAGGTTGAAGGTTGAGGGTTTCATATTGCAGCCTTTGTGGTCGGAATGATTGCTCAACAAGGTGCGTGGTTCGCTAACTTACTAAGGGGAGTTAAGTTTAGGATTCAAATAATTGGATTTGAGGTCTGGGTTTGACGGAGAGAGAGAGGTCTGGGTTTGACGATTCGAATTGTTGATGTGGGGCTGGAAGTGAAGGAGAGTAACGGTGTAGGGTTTTGGGGTTTCAAGGTTTAGGGTTCAAGGTTTTAGGGTTGAGGGTTTTGGAGCTCTTGTAATGTTATGGGGCCGTTGGCCGCGTTTGAATTTGAATTTGAAGGTGACAAGACTTTTAAGATGTTTACAGGGTGTTATCAGGACATTGCAGGTGTTTAGGGTCGTTGGGCTCTCGGGGTGTACAGTTCGGACCGAAAGGCTTTGTCATATGACAGACGTCTCTACCAAAACCTCACGACTAATCTCGGCCTGTTAGAATGTCCTAGCGTCGGAGCGTACGGCCGCAGCCACAAAATGTGCCATCCGGAAAGTCGGTCCACGAGAAGGATGAGACAATCTCCAAGCCCACCCAAGTTACCCTGAGGTTGCCCCACTTTCCCACACCCCAAACTCTACGCATCCTCAACCCTTGACTCTGAGGTGCGTTTCAGGTCGGACCACACCGTCTACGAAACCCTGTAGCTTAAACCGTATAAACCCTAAACTTGGAAGCCCGTCTCAGGTTGTACTTCACCATTTACGAAGCGATAACCCGAAGTTTGGGAAAGTCGGACTTCGTCAGCTTCGTCGCTGGTGGATGTGCAGGCCTTCACGGACACAGTTAAAGCTTCTAGTTTGGGGTGTGGAGGGCTTTCGGGTTTAAGGAGGGTTTAGGCAAGCCCTACATTACATACAGAACCTTGCATAAGCATACCTTCACTTGGGCGGAAGAATTGCCACAGAGAGTTGCATTCGTATGCGCCGATGAGCTGGGCTTTATTTAGGGCTCAGTAGCAGCTATGTGATAGCAGACATAGGCGAGGATCCGTGGCTCAAGGGGACCTAGTGATAAGGGCCATCCCTGGAGCCTTACACCCCCAAAGCCCCAAACTCCCCAAGCCACGTCTCCGCAACACGCCAAGTTCAAAAGCCTGCTCAATACCCCGAGCCCAAAGGGAAGGAGCACCTGGGACCAGCTCCCGGCCCTGAGCCAGAAATCAAAGTAACAAATGGGGCTTGCAATTAGAATATGCTTTGGGGGTGGCAAAGCCTTACTCACGGCCCTAAGGAATAGTATTCAGCCCCTCCATTACATCAGCACACAGAACTTGGCCGATCCTTTTCATAAGCGCCGGCGTATGCTCTGTAGGCGCGACGGCCTGGGGGTGCATCTATCCCATGGATGTCATCAAAACGAACCGTGGCAGCGAGAGAAGGGAGCGTTTCAGGCTTTGTCTCTGACCTGAGATGTGGGATTCCTGCTGCTACCGGAAGTCAAGATGCTGCGCCCAAATCCAAGAGATGGCACAGCTTCTCGCATTTTCGGTTGCGGGTTTAGGTGGCCCTCGAACCGTTTGCTTTCCATATTCTTCCCGCAAAATGTGAGTCGTAACTTCGTGTACCTCCCAGAAGAATGTATTGATCAAGTTGTTTTTGTTGACTTTCATGTTTTTGTTGACTTGGGCCCAATGGGGGCTAGAGTCATGGAGCGTTTGTCATCTGTGGTCAGTCATACTTGTCTGACAGGCGAACACCCTCCCCAGCAAAGGGCTCGAAGAAATGCAGCACAGGGACACCTCCATCCTAAGGCTCAAAGACCCTAAACGACAGAAGCCAACGCCCCCCGACCCCCAATTAAACAAAACCTTAAGCCCCAAACCCACTCACTAGCTTTGATCCCGTTCCCATTGACATCCCTTTCCAAGTACCATCTTGTCAGTTTCCAGGCGCTGGTCGACAGACCCTCCGGGCACCTACAGCTCACTGCTCCACTGCCTCAGGAGCGCGTGCCGAAAACTAGCATGAAAAAGTTGCAGCAGCCTTGCATGTGCCCGCTCGCTTGAACTTGGGCCTAGAATTCGGAGATCTGTTCAGGCTAGGTCTTCTACTTAGTCACGGGTGTCGACAGCTTCGGTTCACGCAACGCCTGCAATCTTGGTCAATGTGGCGCCCAGTTGGAGCTACAGCAAGCCGACTACTGTACAACGCAAAACCGTCGTTGGAGCTACTGCCGAAAAGAAGAGGAAGTAGCGCTCGGCATTTCTGTTGCCATGATTGAGGACTACCATCCGAGAGGACTGGCGGATCCTGTTCAATGGAGCTTCGGCAGAACACATTGAGTCCCATTGGTGCCCTAACTGCTACGTCAAGGATCAGGGCCCTTGTCTCCATAGACACCTGGCCGATTCCTCCGCACTGACTGCTTAAAACAAAGGTCGGAATAGCTTGTGGAACGAAGTCCAGTTTGAGTTGTAGCCGTATAGTGCTGCATTTACAACCCAAAACCTTCTTCAAGTATCAAGACCCCCTGAATAAAACACACCTGAAAGAAGGCTGCAGAAACCAATGAAGAGCAAATTCCACTGCCAAATCTTGTGAGGGTTGTCCCCAATCACTGCTTTTGCTGTTTTCAGTCGAGCGGTCTCTCATTAAATTGGATGCCTGCCTTGGAGGAATCCTTATGCGGGCTTATATAGGGGTCACCCTGCACTTAGGCTTCGCGGCTACAATTGCTCGCGCCTGGCCACAACACGCGGTCGTGTTCTGCACGTGCTCCCCCGTAATTAATGTGGCAATGAAACAGCAGCGGTTGTAGCAGTGATTACCGTTCGGAACAAGATGCAACACGACACTAACAAACGATGAACCGCTGTCGTTGATTTAGGAAAAACGGTATAGCTTAGACCACGTCAGTTCTGCATGGCAATCCAAACTTTGTATGGGGAAGACGAGGACGTATGCGAACAGCCACGAGACGACAGCGATAGATACCCCCAGCTGAATCCGTAAAAAAGTAGTAGCCAGCAGAGGAGGAGTAGCAGAACAGCCTGGATGTCTGGCAAGAAATTGCATGAGAATCAGCGTCTTAGGTTGGAGTTGCGAGACCAGACGTAATAAGAAGCATGCTTGGAGTGTTTCTATCAGGAGCATCAGAATCCGACCTGGAACCCTCGAGACCCAAGCCGTAACGTCCTGTGCGTGCAAGACGGGACGAACCGACCATTTTTGAATACGACTGTGTTTCGTCGTGAAGATTGAAAAGGCTGTGGAGAAAGCGAGAATCAACCATAACACAAGTCTGGATTCCTAAACCAGTTGGGCTTGTTCTGGAGTGAAAGGATCAGATTTTGGGCTGCTCTTTGATTGCTGTTTAAGTTGACTGTTGCATACTTCGGCCGTGCTGCTCTCCGCGACAGTCTTCGCATGATGGTTTGGCTTTGTGGTGCCAGAGGTAAGGGTTCTGAGGATACACACGATGTCTGTCGGCACGCCCGCTCCCCCCCAAACCTGTTCCTGTTGAGTGAGACGGACCTTGATCGTCACAGCCCAAAAGTTCCATTTACCGCTCATACAGTGTACACTCCCTTTGAAAAGAGACCTTTGCTTCTCAGCCAAAGAAATCAACAGTTACAAGCCCGAGCGTTTTCCAGCTGACTGAACCAGGTACGAGCTGCTGAAGTCGAGCTTATCTGCTTGATTTGCTTCGCGGGACGAAAGAAGGAGTCCTAGTCCTACCCCGACTACTACTCCTACTCCTATCTCTCCTACAACTAATACGACGACGACGACGACTACTACTACCACTACGACTACGACTACTGCTNNAAAGCTACAAAAAATACACACGAAACCAGGAACAGTTGCCACTTTCGATAACTACGGGAAAAAGTGTTGTAAAACACAGCATTTCCGACCACAACAAGTCCCATAAAACAAGAGGTCTGGGAGTCGCATGGGGGGATGCCGTACTAGTACTACTGCTACTACTACTACTACTACTACTACTACTACTACCACCATCATCACCACTGCTGCCACTACCACTACCACTACCACTACCACTACCACTACCACTACCACTACCACTACCACTACCACTACCACTACCACTATCGCTACTACTGCTACTACTACTACTACTACCACCACTACAGTTTCGCAGAGGGTAGGCTCGGAAATCAAAGCGGTGGCTCAGAGTGATCAGAGTGTTGGTGTCGAGGGCGCGAGCGGTATGCAGGCATCGTGGCTTCGTTTGCACGTGCATACCATAAGGGACGGGACTTAAGTAAGCTATTCCTTGTGGCTCCTATGTGCAACTTATGTACTATACATATATATATATATATGTATATTTACATTATGTACACACGCAAAGTAAATATACCCATTATACCGGTTCAAACTTTTAAGGCCCCGACATGAAAGGCAGTCTTAGGCTTATCCCTGGGTTTGGCAAGAGGAGTTCGGTCAAGGCGTTGTACCCGCAGCAGGTGAGGAACTAGAAGGCAGGTGATATAGGGGCATTAATGACAGGAACAGGGTTTCAGGGTATATTATACTATTGTTATAAGAAGCCCCGCAGAATAGTGTATAGGTAGTTCTTAAAGCCCCTACATTCTCACAGGATGCCTGTGAGCCCCGTTCGCTCGAAACTTCAAGCACGGAATACATGCACCCAGAAGTCAATGCAGTTGAAGTCTCCGGAGGCTTCCCTGGACAGCATGCAAACACGACACACTGTGCCTTATCTTCCACACTGATCCCCCGCCTTCGTGAATGGACAGTTTAGGGCATTAGGGGTCTTCAGGCGACCCTAACAGAAGCTAAACCTCATAATCCCAAGACCCAACCCCAAACTAAACCTCAAAAGCCTAAGCCCTAAACCTTAGCCTAAACTCACCCCTAAGACCCTAAACTCTAAACCCTAAGATATCTGCCCCGACTTGCCAGCCAGAGCCATGTCACGGATGCGCGCAGAATCCTCGCTGCGATGCCATTGTCCGGGAAGGCCGGGTAAGTGATCTTAGTTCCCCAATACCCAACCTTTAAAAATTTTGGGTTCGTATACTTGTGTAGTAATCTGAAAATTAAACCTTGTATTCCCCTGGCTTATGGGGCAGGCCAGTGATAGGGGGCTAGAGGGCCTTCTTTTGGGGGTTAAGGGTTACCGTTCAGGGTTTATGGGGGTTCTGTGTTCGTTTCGATGAGAGTATGTTCCAGTCGCACTCAACTCACGAAGATCAGCGTCGCCAGCATCGAACCGTCGATCGCATCCATAGGCCTTGACCGAGACCCTTGGTTTTTGCACGGAGGTCACGGAGCCCCAAACTTTTCATCCTCAGCCGCAAACGCTAAACCCATGAGCGTCGAGATCCCAACCTAAAGCCTTGCACTCTGAACCCAAAGCTCTGAACCCTAAACCCTAAACCGTGAAGCCTTGCACTCTGAACCCAAAGCTCTGAACCCTAAACCCTAAACCGTGAAGCCTTGCACTCTGAACCCAAAGCCCTAAACTCTAAACCCTAAACTCTAAGCCATAAAACCCAAAACCCTAAACCCTAAACCCTAAAACCCTAAACCCTAAACCCTAAAACCCTAAACCCTAAACCTCTCTGAACCCAAAGCCCTGAACTCTTCGTTCCGAAGCTTCGAGCTTTCTTCCGTCCAGGACGGCTTGACGCTTGGCAGCCAAAGGTCCCGGTTAGGGTTTAGGGTTTAGGGTTTAGGGTTTAGGGTTTAGGGTTTAGGGTTTAGGGTTTAGGGGTTTGCGTTTAGGGTTTGGGGTTTGGGGTTTGGGGTTTGGGGTTTAGGGTTTAGGGTTTAGGGTTTAGGGTTTAGGGTTGGTTAGGATAGGATGTCTGTATATAGGTAGTTCTCTAAGTTGGGGTCCCTTTTTAGGCCCCCAATATGCTAGGGCATCCTATAACAAGGTCCCTAAAAAGGGACCCTAATTTAGAGAACTACCCCTCTAGGGGTTCAGGATTCAGGATGTTACGCGAATTTCTTTTATAGACCGACGATCTAGGGGTATCCTAAACCCTAAACCCTAAACCCTGCTTGACTAGTTGTGAGTGCTGAAACCCTAAACCCTAAACCCTAAACCCGACGATCTTTGGGGGTTCGGGAGCTTCTTGTCTTGGGTAGAGACGTTGACTTAGGGATCCTGGGGCCTGGGTTTGTTTAGGGTTTAGGGTCTAGGGTTTAGGGTTTAGGGTTTAGGGTCTAGGGTTTAGGGTTTAGGAAGTCGTAGCTAGTCATCTTATAAGGGTTTAGGGTTTAGGGTTCAATTATATCTTTTGGTCCCGTGGGTATTGCCATCGAACTCAGGTCTAGGACATTTTCAGGTGGGCAGTTACCGTTATAGGAGCCGTATAGAAGGTCTATATACCTTATGGAAGCCTTATAGAAGCCCTAAACTCCCCACACCTGCAGTTTCCTTTAATCGGGAGATGGTTAAGCCTTGTAGCCCAAGGCTCTCTCAGATAGCGAGTTTCATCGCAGCCGCTCGCCTGCTTATCTCAGGACTTGCAGCCCAAGCAAAAGTCCCTAAGTTGAAGCTGAATCCCTTTTGAATGCGAATAAGCTTATGAGCAATTATCCTGAAAAAACATGCTTCTAATTAAAATGGCATGCAGCCGCATTTATTTAAGAAACTATCGCGCTAAGCCCTAAACCCCACGTTTGAAACACTAAACCTCCTAAACCCTAAACCCTAAATCAAGGAACTTTCTCTTCATGGGGGCCAGTACGGCCCTCATCGGCCATGGTGCGCTCTCCAGGCAGTGTGGTGTTCGGGTTTTTTTTGGCTTTCCCAGAGATTCCAATATTCCTTAATTAAGGAATATACCTTGAATTATAGTAGGATCCTTGTAAGATTTAAGGTACATTCCTCAATTAAGGGATATTGGAGTCTCTGGGTTATACTCAAAGGGTCCTCAGCGCCTATGATACCTACCCTAACCATCATCGAAAGTCCTAGTATAGAAGCCCTACTTTCGCGATGTAGGTACTTAAGACCCTTCGGGATACGGGCTCCAAAGGTGAATGGATGAAGGGGTTAAGGGTTCACAGGGTCGATTACGGAGCCCACCTCCAGCTATCCATACGACCTGCAGCAGCCTCGCAGCACATGTCGAACATCTCTTGAGCTCGGACTCCCAAATACGCCAAGCCGTAGCCCCACACCCTGAAGCCCTGAACCCGAAACCCTAAACCCCTAAACCCTAAACCCATGTATTATGCCCTTTTCAATTCCTCGCAAGAACCACAGAAAGGCCAAAAGCCGTGAGACCAACGGCAGAGAAGGCTTTGGGGTAAACCCATCATGGAACCCTAGAGCCATATAGGGTTTAGGGTTAAGGGGTTTAGGGTTTAGGGTTTAGGGCTTTAAGTCGAAAAGCCTAAAGTCCATTATCCCTAGAGCCCTAAAGCCCGAAATGCGCGCTAGTTGTCCGGAATTGTTTGTGTTGTCAGGTTCGTTTTCACCAAACCTCGAAAATCCGACACGTCCTAGGCCCCACAACCGTCGTTTAAAAAAGAACCTAAAAGCCCTAAGCCCCAAACCATGAACCAATATAACAACCTTAAAAAAGTCCAAGGCCAACCCCAACCCTTGAACCCTAGAGCAACCCTAAAAGCCCTCCCAAAAAGGCCTGGTGATATGCCCGGTGGCGAGATCCGGCTTCACCCCTTTCTGATGGGCCCGGGCCACGGCTTAAGCACTGAAGCGGGCTCTCTACGTAATGGTCCCATAAGTGTAGGGTTTAGGGCATGTGGTTGTGGTAAGGGGTCTTCAAGGATTTTAGGATGGTGATTCCAGGGTCTCTAAGTTTGCTTCGAAGGATCCTAGAAGAGCTTCAGGTTAAGATTCAGGCTTGCGGCCTCAGGCCTGGCTTTGAAAAGGTTCATGGCTCCGGTGATGTTTTGCATTCAGTAGCCTCGTTGTGATGTGTCAGGGTTACGCCTTTGCTTTTGTGACTGCTTTTGTGTAGGTGCCAGTTGGGTCTATATACATGCGTGCATGTATGCGTTTATATGCAAGTACATGTGCATTGCAATTGTATGTGGCAGTGTGCGTGTGTAGTTCTGGCTGTCCGGCTGTCTGCCTGACTGCCTGTCCGCCCGTCTGTATGTCTGTGTCTGCATGTGTCTGTGTGTATGCATGCATGCATGTATGTATGTACGCATGCATGCATGTATGTATGTATGTGTGTGAGGCACATTGACGTAAGTTGACCTCAGGCATATGCTTGCATGCCTTGCACAATTGCTCTCAGTGTTCTCAGCAGGTAGTCATGCGCAAGCTTATGCAGTCTCAATCACGTGCACCATCTAGGGAGCTTGACAATGAATAGAATAGGGTTTGTGGATGGGTATACTAATTGTAGTAGAGTATTAGAGACCTTGAGGGGATGCTATTACCAGTTATTCCACTAATCATTCCGATGTCCGTATCACTCGCAAGGCATGCTCAGTTGAATGGAAAGATACATGCATACTCTTCAAGCCATGAGGCCAGTAATTAATGCAGGTGCCTGATTAGTGTTCCTCAATACAACTATACTGTAATATGATCCAAAACCCTCTTCCATACAATGATATGACCCAAGCCTTATTCCGATTATTCAGGCCCCTACATTAGCTTCAGAAATCCAGCAGCTCTGGCAATGGCGAATGTTCTGCGGCTACAGCAAAAGT